GTATCCCAATGGGGTTGCGAAGGAAAACGTGAAACTGCGAAAGATCTTCTAAGAATACTCCAAGGCTCCTAAACAACTCGGTGATGTCTTCCCTCTGCATAGCCAAAAGCTTGTCCAGAGCTGCTTGCCGGTCCGTCTTGTCCGATGCCAAGATCATCTGACGCATTGCCTTACTGGATCCTGGTTGCGGGCAGCACATTTTTCCTTACACTGGTTCCATGCTTTGTTACAAGGAACCTTAGAACAACTCAGACCTTGCACATTTTGATCTTGGTGCCACAATCCGGCCGCCCTCGAAGAACATGTGCTCCGTGCGCACCAAGCCGATGCCTTCGCAGCCAAACTCCTTTGCCTGAGCTCACTCAGGTTGTGCTGACACGAAGTTGCGCAGTAGGGTCTTGATACATCCTGCTTAACCCCTCCCCAATTCCGCAACCTAAGAAAAAACAAGCCCTAGACCCTAAAACCCTAGACCCCACTAAGTGTCAAGTCCACTCGTTAGCCAATCCTGCTACCCGGCCTGGCGCGCATCTGCCGGCGTTTCGGCATTGGCCCGAACCTGCATGGTGCGGAACTCGTCCGCCCAGGACATGACGGTGCCAAAGGCACCTGGGGAATCTCAGGCTCAGGTTGAAGGGATTGAGGGACCTACTATACACACAGTTATATAGGGGTTATATAGGGATAATGGAAAAGAAAATGGAAACTACTATAATAGGGTATATATCTCGGGGTATAGGATCTGGTATGTTAGGCTATGTTAGGAAAGGATTCCAGGTCTTTGCTTCTAGTGCCAAAGGCGCCGGAAAGCTGTGGGGGCACCGTGGGGACTTCTCCAAGCATCACCTCTCCCGTGACACCATCAATGGTGATGAGCTGACCCTCACGGACGACCACATTACCCACCTGGGGACTTGGTTTAGGGCTCAGGGTAGAGGGGATAGGTTTTTCCATTTTTCGGACCTTTTCTCCATGGGCTGAAGCCCATACAGATGTACATAGGGTGTTGGGTATAGATAGGGTAGAAGGTGTATAGGATTCGTGCCCTTCTGAGCTGTAGGCCTTGCAGTGTTTTGAGTCGAGGAGGTACCTCCTTGATGGAGCTCAACAACCAGAATCGCGAGAGCTCTAAACAAACTACCCTGGAACTCCCTTTCGCTACCTACCTAGGCGATTCTACCTCCAAGTTTGGTCAAACCCCAAATCCTACACTCCGAAACTCCACACTATCCCTAGACCCCCTCAACCCCATCGCCTCGAATGACGCCGAGCTGTAGTTGACCTTCACCTCCCCAGCGCCTGCTACACAGGGCCGGCCCATGCCACGTGCCACCACAGCTGCGTGGCTTGTCATCCCACCGCGAGTCGTCCTAAGGTTCGCAGTGCAAGGCATGTGAGTAATGTTTTTTTGGTGGTTAAACCCAGTAAGATTATATTCGTTATGTAAAATACTATACCCAAAAGGAGGACATCATCTTACTCTATATCGGGCACCATAGTACCCCCAAATAAAATACTACTCATGTGGGGTGTCGTTGGCCTCCCACTTAAACGCCTCCTGTCGAGTTGGTTGATGTAGCTGGGCAACCCATAAGTCTGACTGACTGCATCAAAAGGTGGAACTCAAGAGATCTACTCTGCCATGCAGAGGCTCTGCAACCTACCATGAAGGGACCCAACAGCTTTGGAAATTATAGTCGGGTACACGCTCGTTCCTACAAAATCTCTTTCATCTCCACTGAATCACTGCATGCTTGATACGTCTATCAGCGTAAGCTCATGCCCTGAAACTGAAAACCAGGGGTCAGAACACCCTCCGCCGCGTGTAGGCCGTGGATGTCGTCCGGGCTTGTCTCGATGCGCACAAGGATCACCTGCGGTGGCTTCTCAACATGAGGGATCGTATAGTCGCCCTTAAGTAGGTAGAATATGGAATTGCCCAATATCATAATAAGATCTCCATATACCCCATCTTCCATCTATTCAGGGGGGACTGTAAACGTAAGTGAGTTTGGGCCCTAGGTTGAAGTTCTAGTGCTATCTGCTAACTTGCACTCACGCACACACCAGGACCTTGTCGCCGTTCTCCGAGCGGGTGACGGCCTCGTCGGCCGAAAAGACTACCTTTCCAGCGGCTGCACCTCAGGGATTCGGGCTTTAGGGTTTAGGGCAAGGGGTTATGGGATCATTAGAAGAATGCTGGGGTTTAAGGGTCGGGATTTCGGGTTTGGTGTCGAGGGACAGTGAGCGTGGCAGTTTCTCGGCGTTAGCACCTGCTAACCCAAGATGAGTGTAACCACCCCTAGATGTTGGGCAAGCAGCGTTCATGACATAGGATGCTGGGGCTTCACTTCCAAAGCACAGCTTTCGGAATCAAGCTTAGAGATCGCAGCCGCGCCTGGCGAAGCCGGGAGGCCCTTGGCAATGACGGTCTTCTTGGCCTGCGGGTACCGTCATTGCTGAATCACGACGACTACGACCACTTCTGGAACTGCTTCTACCAGCAAGGGGGACTTTCAAAGGAGCCCAATAGGCCCCAACAGTCGCTTTGCAGGGCCTTTGACGGGATGGGACATATCAACCACAGGATACCCACCGCCTCCGCCGCCGCCCCCCGCACCTCACCACCACTACCACCTCCACCACCTCCACCGCCTCCACCACCACAACACAGTTATAGGGTTGAAGGGCTTAGGGCTTCGGATATGGGGTTTAAGGTTTAGCGTTTAGGGTTAGGGCATACAAGCACGATACAGGTCATATCAACATTGAATGTGTACACAACATTACCTCGCTGCACCTTGGGGTCCAGCGTTGGGTGGAGCAGCTGGTCAATCAAGTCCGGCTTGAGGCGCATCAAAGCCTTCATGGAAGGCTTGTCAGAGTCAGGGAAGTTTCGGCTCGATAACAGTTTGCAGCTTTGTGTTTGTTCATGCAATTGTTGATATCCTAAACCCTACACCCCTAAAGTAAACCCTAAACACAACAGCCTACATAAAATGAACCAGAAATATTCTGACATCCCAGCACCATCCACCCCCGAAGCCTGCGATTTGCTGATGAGCCCCTCGTTGGCCATGTCCACCGCAATCTGCAGGGCTGCGTGGGCCGTGCGCTTCCCCGTGCGGGTCTGGAGCATGTAGAGCTTGCCTTTCGGACTCTTAGACGGTTCTGGGTCTGGGGTGCAGGGCTTTCAGGTCTCCAGCTTACGGTGTGAGAATTTGGGTTTAAAGCTTCGCAAGAAAGAGCGGCTAGGTGGCCTGCCTTGCTGGATTGTAAACCTCAGCTCTGATTTGCTTGTAACATCGCAAAACCACAACAGAATTCAGCACACAATGGCAGGCTAGTCTCATCAAGAATTCTTTGAAGGCAAGAAGCTCGATGTCCTGCATGTCCCTGTAATGGTTCTCCAGCTGGTGCCGAACGTTTTCCAGCTCACGGAAGATCCCGGGCATCACCTTTCAAAGGGGGAGCCTGGAAGTTGATGACGTCAACCACATGCTTAGAAAAAGTGACAGCCATCCATGTCGATTGGCAAGTTGTGTGCAACCTCTGTTCAAAGAGGCTCCACCCTAAACCCTAAACTCTAGGATTCTCCAGAGCATCATTCACAAGCTGTAGTTTGCTACCCACCGTAACATTATTTCAGGAACCCTTCATAGCAGCCCAGGACATACGAACCCTTAGTGAAACATAGGCACTTCTTTAGAATTCTCAATGCTGCTCGTATGCCCGTCTCAAGCCAAAGCGGCCGCATCTTCTCAATTCCTTATGACTCTCATATCATTCCAAGATGTTCTCTCTGAAGCCTGTATACATTCCCCGCATTGTCCCAGGGAAGGAGCCATCCACCCCAAACCCTGACCCCAACATGCCCCAATCATAAAAAGTACCGGTGATTTTGGAAACAAGCCCACCTCCTCCAGCGACGGCAAGTCGCTGCCATGGGACTTGCGAGCCTGGTTTGGTGTTTGGAAAAATTTTGGAGGGAGCTTGGGGTTGAGAGCTGTCAGGTGCAGTGTTTAGGTTCAGGCTGTCGGGTTTTTTCAGACTTTTTGACACATCTTGTTCTTATCCGTGCAGGTTCTTGAAGGCTCATGTCTAGCAAGCCTTGATCGTCAGCTCCTGGGGTGTTCGGATGCCGGCCACCACGTCCTGACAGGCTGTCAATGCTGACATGAGGGCTAGAGAAATAGCCTGGGGGGGGGGGGCACTACGCGAGAATTTCGCGTAAAAAAGCACGAGAGCATTATATGAAGATGAGCGATGGTTTTATGATACAGGAACCTTCAACTTACGTCTGGTTAGCTAGGAATAAAGGAATGGATCCTTATAGTAGTCCCTGTCCCATTATAGTCGTTTCCATGTTCGTTTCCATCCTCAATTCCCAGCTAACCAAAGGCAAGTCAAATCATTGGGTTAACAATAGGGATGGACCAGGCCTCACCCTGAGCGTTGACCAAGAACTCTCCGTAGAAATCCTGGACAGGGATTCGGCTAGAACGTCTTGAACAATAGCAAGATATAGCAAGTAATGACGTGCAGGAGGTGGAACCCTAGAACTAGAGTGTAAAGTTTTGGTTCATAGCCCTGCAAACACCTTGGCGCCGTTGGAAGGATTGCGGGTGAAGGCCACGCCCGTTGCGCAGTCGTTGCCCATGTTGCCGAAGACCATCGCCTGAACGTTCACGGCCGTGCCCCACTCCTGGCAGGGTGCAAAAGGCAACAGCCGATCTGGGGGTTTCCCAAAATTAGGGGTACCTTATTGGGGTTCCCCATAATAAGGATTATAGTATATTTGGGTAGGTCCCCTTATTTTGGGAAACGACCATTTAATCCTAGAACTGCACCAGAAAGGAGCGCAATCACCTTGGAGCGCGGACGAGCAAAATTCATTTTAGTCCGCCTCAACAAAAACATCCGTACAAAACTCATCAGAACACCTTCCATCAGCACCATCCCCTCACCACAAGCGTCCTGGGGGATGTCATGCAGTTTTCGGTAGGTCTTGGCCCTCTGGTTCATCCAAGACCCGAAGACAGCGCCCACTGCACCCCAGAGCTGCTGTTGTGGATCCTCATCAGGGTTATGCCATGCTGTTCGGAAGGCATCTCGCTGCCGCTGATTGGAGAGGGAAGAGAATGGATAACAGGAAGGAACGATCCCAACAACATGGGAACTGTAGAGATACACCTCCTTGGATCTTTGGAAGACCACACGGATTGTAAGAATCCCTGAGCTTAGGGCCCTTTCCTTTCAGAAGCTCCGCTTGCGGGCGCTTCATTGGCATTTCAAATGATCATCTCTGTGAAGACCCTGAAACCCAAATCATGAATCCCAAGCCCTACGCCCTTGGCCCTCAACTTCAGACTAAAACACCCCCCGAACTCCTCCGGGAACTCCTCCCCGAGCTGCAGATAAACACAGGCCTCTCATGAGCGCAGGCTTTGTCAGGCAGGGCCCATTTGAAGGAAGCTAAGAAATACCACTCAACAAATATTCCCAGTGTAGCAGCGTTAAATGGGTGGAACGCTTAGCATGAGGGTGGTTGGAATGGTATCCGTAGGAGGACGAGATCGAATCATCATACTCATCATCATCATCATCATCGTCGTCGTCGTCGTCGTCGTCGTCGTCATCGTCATCGTCATCATCATTGTTGTGAGTTTTGACTGCGCGGAAGAAAGCCTTGTAGTCCTTGACCAGCTGCTCCAAGTCCTTTGGCTGGAGCTCGTGGTCTTGCGTCACCTGGACTCTCTTTGGTGGCTAGTGGGGAATGAAAGAATATTTTCTCGAGGGATGGTGCAAGGATTATATTCCTCTATTACTCTACTAAACCCCAGTAAGTCTTGGTACGTAGCACTACGATCGTCACCTGCGATCACTATCACTAGACGGCCACGGTTCTCGTTTTGTGATCATTCCTGGGATTTCCCATGTGCTAGTACTATGCAAGCATCATTACTCTACCCTGCGAAATTCACGCCTCCTCCCCCTGGATACGTTCATATCCAAGCTGTTGATTCTTATTCCTCCTGTTTGACTCTGTTTGAAGCCAATGTCATCGCCCCTGTTCTCTACATAAGTCTGGTTTTCATGGGCACAGCGAATGGCTCTACTAGTAAGATGCCTTGTACGATTGTTTCAGTTGAGCCTGGATCTCTTTCCTCTGAGCCGAGCGACACCTCGCTTCTTCTTGGACCTCTCCAAAAGCTTCTCGAAGTTGTGCAGCTCAATGCCAAGCACCACGTCTCAGGGTCCCGTGCTTCGTTGCGGAACGCTGTCTTTTGAGATGGCGTAAGCATTACAGAAGTGGCAGCAGCAGCAGCAGCAGCAGAGTGAGCATCAGTAGTAGTATCACACAGTAGTCGCCATCATGGTTGTTGTACGAATGGTCCCTACACAGTTGCTCCTTGCTTCAAAGTGAGGTGCGGCTCGATCGCTTCAGGCATCTTTGTTTGGACGACCATCTGCACTCGAGTGTCGTTTAGCAAGTAGCAACACTTTCCACATATCATGACATATCTGGAACCGACAACTTTGCCACTGGCAATGCACGAAAATTTCCAGTGACAGCCCAGACCGAAGCGCTAACCACCCACATAGCCCACCCAGGTCTTGTGCGCCTGAGTACATCTGCACGAAGCGGCGATAGCTGTCGAAGGCAAAACGCCGGTCTCCGGACTGCTTGGCAAGCGCCTGCGTGCTTTGTTCTTCCTTTGCAGTTTGGGGATTACGGCTCAGGGTCCTGAGAAATTCTGGCATGGTCGGCGTGCTTCTACCACGTTTGCCAGAGCAGCTATGTTTCGCTTGGCAACTTCTACTCTACTCACATTGCAGGTTGCTACCATCCTGAATTCTCTGTATTCTCCATTCATTACTCGGCCTCTGTGACACTAAGTCAATGCATTGCACGGAGACACTATCTAAGTGTAGCAGGGGGTACACAGGGCCGAAACCAGGTCCCCTCTTGGAAAGGCACCTAAACCCCAAACCCAGTGAACTACTTCAAAATCATGCCAGCTCTATCATCGGGCTTCTAACCTCATAACGCGTTTTGTTTTCCACTATGCATGCGCTTGGAAATGGAAAGCATTCCCCGATACGATGATCTCAAAGAAAGCTTAAAAGGAAACGATGTACCTACTCGCCCAGCAAGTCTTGAATGACTAGACCACCTCCGCCGTCGCGTCATTCAGCCCCAGGTTCAGGACCTGAGACATGTAAATGGAGTTCGGATTGCAATTGCTTCTTGGATGCTACCCGGCAGCCAGCGGCCCTCAGGTGCCAATTCATGTCCGAACCAAAGAAATCCTGAAAGTCTGCGAGAAACTCAACTCACTGTGGCCGTTTCATTGCTAGAGAACTCCCACTGCCATACAGGGTGGCAGTGTGGAGCCCTGAGGCCCTCCGAAGACATCTTTGCCAACCCCTCTACTTGGAGTTCAAGCTGGCCATGCCGCTGAACGCCGACAACGCAAAGCTCCGGGGGAGGGCCCTGGGGAGGGTTTATACTGGCACTCTGGTGGCAAGTGGCATGCTGGAGCGCCAGCATGCCACCCTGCTTCGTCCTTTGGCGGCTGGAATGCCGGTATGCGCCACAATCTTGCTCTTTCTCGGGGTTGAGAGCGCCCCTGTTCCAGACATTACTTACGTGAAGATCAAATTTGCTTGGGCAAGCTGGTTTAGAATTTGGGCTTGGGGTTCAGTATTGTTCCCACATCGTCCCATCGAAATGTCCTGCAAGTTCAGAGCATAATCTGGGAGCAAATGCGAGCTCATCAAAACTGCAACGCTTCAACCAATGAGCCCCATAACTAAGACCCACTAGCCCTGTGAGGCAGCTATGCGGCAGTGTCCATCATCCCAGGCATG